GAAAACCAATACTCTGGGGTTTATTGTTATATTTGATGTCCCCTTAGCACATCTAGATTGTGTATTCATTAAAAAGCTAAAAGGTACCAGCAAACAATTTAATATATAAAATCTTAATGGTCGTAAATTCTTTTGTGTAGAAAAGGGACCATGTGCACATGGTTCCTTTTTGCATTAAAAAAATCTTAAACTTAATAAAGTCATACAAAATGGCAATAAGGTTTACTATGTGACGCTTGGTACCTTTTTGCTCAAACTGATATGCATATGGTCCTTTTTGCATTACTAAATGGGAAAATAATTGACATTGGGTACCTTTTTACATAAACCTTATATGTCTGTAAATAAACATGATACTACAGGAGATATTTCTACAGATTAAAGATAACATTAAAAAAAAAAATGAAAAAATGTTAAAAAAGTCATTTTTGGGCCAAAATGTCGCTTGGTACCTTTTTGCTTTAATGGGGGCGAATTATAATTTTTTAGTCTGCTGAAAAAATTAAACCTTGACATTTAATAATATATGTTTTTTACTAAAAGGTGGAACAGAGATCATCTTCAGAAAAAGCCTGACTTAGTGCATGATTGAATGTATTATCACCAGTTTTTAGATATTGCCTGGATGAACACCAGACATTAGTGGCTCCCCTCTATCAATACTCCATTATATAAATAATGAATTCAGTTGTTTGAATAAGCCTGGTTGTTTTCTTCTAAGGTCTGAAATAAATAAAAATTTTAAAAAACCAAATAATGCCCCTGAAATTTTTAATTAAATAGTTAAAAACTGTTTATTTTCTTTATAGAAAAAATGTGAAAAGCTCTTCCCCTTTTTTCATATCTAAATGAATATTTTTTCTTTAACTATGAAAAAATTTTGTTTTTTTTAAATTAAACCCACACTTGAAAGTTATGGTGTTTTTTTTCAAAAATAAGTTTAAACATGTTTTGGCAAACATTTCATAAAGTATTTGGGGAAAACAATCCCAAATTAACCCCAATTTTGGGGGGTTTTAAATGAAGCTTGTAAACAAAAATTTTTGTAAAAACTTTTTTAAATGATAGTTTTTAATCAAACAGTTTTTGGTTTTTCTTTTCCCATAAAGGGTTTCCCTAACAAAAGGTCGTGGTCTCCCCCAAAGAGGCCCCAGCCTCATATCCTGAATAGCTTTTTACTTTTGATCTCCTTGCCCAATAAACCTGTTACCAACTAAAAATGAATCAGAGGAATTTCAAATCATTTTTCATTTAAATGTGAAACTTAAAAGGCATTTAGATAATTTTATAAAGACATAATATCACTGTCCTTTCAAGTAATATATAAAATAAAAATCGTTTATTTTTTTAATTACAACACAGCTTCAAGAGGTCTTGAAAAGTTTTGTTTTTGTGTTTTTTTTATATGAGTATAAAACGCTTTAAAAGTGCTTAAATTATTTTCAGATATAAATCAAAATCTATGACCTTAAATGTGAAATTTTAAAATAATTTGATTTTGTTTCTTCAAAATTGAGCGCAAATTTACAAATTTCAAAAATAGAAAATACTTTCCCAAAACATTTTAACCTTTTTTAAGCGTAATATCCCTACTTGGGCATTTGTAATAACATTGTTACATAAATGGTTACCAAAAAAGCAATTTGGGAAAAGAAAAAGAAAGACACTTTAAATGAAGGTGTTATAAGTCAAATTGGTTCCCTTTTAACAAAGTAATGATTTTTTACCCAAAAAGAAAAATATGCAAAGTATTTTTTAATTTTCCCCTTTTTTATTTCTTTTTAATTTTTTTTAAAGGGGAAAAATGAGGATTAAACAAAGAGTTTTTTTTTTCTTGTTTGTAAATTTTTCCCCTTTTGGGTCCAATTTTTTTTCTTTTAAAAACCTTTAAAATTACAGTTTAAAGATAATTTGATTTTTTCCCTAGACAATCAATCGCCAAACCCAAGTTTTAAAGGTGGGTTTTTTTTTCCTCTTTTGGGTTTTAATTTTTTTAAACCAAAAAGCCCAAAAAATTTCACAGTGTTTTTAAAAAAATAAGAAAGATCAACTTTTTTTTAAATGTTATGTTGAAAATAATCCAAAACTTGGGGACTTTTTTTGGGAAAGCTTTGATAAAAAGGGGTAGATGTATAAAGGAAATTCATAAATATTATTTTAATTTTTTAAATTTTTTTCAAAATTACTTTCAAAAAATTTAAAACAAAAACTTTTTTTTTAAGGGATTAGAGGGTTTGGATTTATTTATAGCAATTAATAAAAAAACTGTAAGCCAGGCAACCAGTACAAAAGGGTTTCTAGCCCAGATTTAAGATTTGCTTCATGGGATATCTGCGGGCTATCTAGACAACATTAAAAGGTTTGGGAAGAAAAAAAAACAAGATAAACACCATAATCTGCTATTTTCTTTGGGTTTTATCTGTGCCCAAAAATCTCCCTTTTTCTCGTCATTAATCTTCCCGCACGTGAAAGTAACACTGTTTTGGGTGGGATATGTTTAAAAATTGGGGGTAATTTGGGGGGTGGGAAAAAACAATAAGGGGGTTTCCCCCCAAGTACTAACATCTTTTCCCCAGCCAAACTGCTCCCTCTCTACCCCACCCGCTTATAAAAAGGGGCACTGATTTAGGGGGTTTTTAGATTTCTCCCCCTCTAAGTAAATCTTGGGGTTTTTTTTAAAATGATTTGTGTCGGAAGACAGCTTATTGGAAAAAAGATGGAAAAATTAAAAATTTTTAAAAAAAGCATTCAAAGATAATATTTTCCCAAAATTTTTTTATTTTTTTTGCCCCAATATGTTAAAGTAAGATTTAGGTTTTTTTTTTTGTAACTTTTTTAAAGTAAGGTTAATGAGTTTTTTTTCAATGGGAAATTTTTAGATGGTTAGGTGCTAGACTAAACTTTGCTTTTAAAATAAAAAAACCCGGGGTTCTTCATAAATTTTCTTGGTTTTCTTAAAAAAAGTTTTATTTTTTACATTTTCCCTTTTTAAAAATTTTTTTAGTTTATTTTTTAAAATTTATATAGGGGGACTGTCTTAAACCCAAATTTTTGGGAAAAGCCTAAAAAAAAATTTAACAACAAAGGAAGAAATTAAAGATTTAAATGTTTTTACAAAAATTTGAAACTGAAATTTAAAAATTTTTTTTTGTATAAATAAATATAGTGGGAAAAATTTATCATTATTTTTTATGGGGGTTAAGGACAGATTAAAAAAGCTGGGGTTTTTTCAAAAACCAAATGGTGTGAGCAATGGGTCATGAATTTTTTGGGTTTTTGAAAGTAATTAAACATTCAACCCTTTAAAGTTAAATTTAAGGGGGGTTTAAATCATGGCCAATTCTGGTAATTGGGGGGGGTCAGTTGTTCTTGGGGGCATGCATAATGGAATTTTCTCTACCATGCTAATTAATTATCAGCTGTTTTTATTTACAATACAAGCATTCCTGAGAGAAGAAAGTCAATCTGCCTCTATTGTTAAACTGAAATGCCTGTTAAAATAGCTTGAAAGTTTAACTTTATGACCTGAACCATGTCTAATTGTGACTAATATGTTAAAACCAAGTTAAACAAAGCAAACAACAAGCAATATTATAATATCAGATTTCTGGAAAAGGAATTATAATGGAAAATGCATTGAAATTGATTCAAACCCATGCACCTATTACAAAATACAAAACAATATGTTTTGAAATTTAATTGATATGCCACTGATGAAAAATAGATAATGGAAATTGACAATGTATCTGATGGTGTAACTGAAACACAACTTTCAATTGAAATGTTTATTGTATAAGGCCCAGCTTTATTTAAAAGTCTTCTTATATTTCTAATTAATTTTAATAATTTATGTATTTTCAGCAGGAGATTGATGTTATTCTTTAACTGTTTATAAGATATATTCAGAATGCCTCCAGATTCAAGCTCATTTTCATGAAAAATATTAAAATGTATTAAAAAGTAAAGTATTGTCAAGTGAACAAAGAAAGTAATTTACGTTTGAAATCTACAAAAATTTCCAAAAATAGGTTGGAATATGCAAAAATGGCCGTTAGTCACGCAGTAGAAGTATGGTTATAAATACTGCAAATTCAGTCATTAATTGCAATTACAACATGTAAAGTATTTCTTTAATTGTGAATATTCTTATTTTTCTTAAAATCTTAGTCATTTTTTTTCAAGGTTGTTTTTGGAAATTTTTTGGGTAATCTGGAGGGAAATTTAGCATTAACTAAATTAAAATTTTTATTAATCAAAGGGAAATTTTTTTTGACATTTGGCCCTTTTTTCTTCAAAAACAGTTTGGGAGTGAGCTAATAAAATTTGCAAATTTTGATTTTAAACATTTTTGCTAGTTGATACACATCCCGTTCACCCGCTGAAAAACTTGGGTTTTTTCAGGCCCTGTGGGTTATTTTTTTAAAATTTGGCCCTATGTTGTGCAAATTTTTTGGGCAAAACAAAAAGAAATTTTCCAAAATTTCAAACTGTAAATGAATTTTGTGAATAGCCCCATATACCTATATAAACCTATATATAAATCTAAGTCAGTCTAAAGATGATTTTGAATACTACATTCTTATAACATATCTAGAGCCTTTTGTAAGTATAAGGACTTCAACATTCCTGCTTCAGGATTCCAACCTGAAGCAAAAAAAGACAAAATTTGATAAACCCGTGACCTTAAAACCCTTCAGCCCCTGGAGCCCCCTACAGATTTTTCAAAAAATGTTCTCATAGCAAACCCTCTTGATTTCTTTTGTCTAAAGAAATAAACAGAAGGGGTCAAAAATGTATAAAAATTTTTTTTTTCCCGTTCTCATTTAATAATTTAAAAACCCCACCATTTTTTTTAGACTTAAAAATTTCCAAAAATTCATTTAAAAAAATCTAGAGTTTTTTTTCTGAAGCCCGAAAAATTTTTGGTTTTGGTAGACTTTTAAAAGAAAATTATTTTTCCCCATTGGTTTTAATAAATTTTGTCCGATTTCCTCCTGGGCCCTGATAGTAAAGTCTTAGTCAATCCATGGTAATCCCTGTAATTTTTGCCACTTGACTGAAGAGGGATTAGTGATGGGGGATTACATGCCCTTGACATCAGTCCTGAATAAGATGTATTTAATTAAGATTGGGAATACTGTAAGGTTCTTGCTACAGTAGTCTAAGGTCCTTGGGGTACTGCTAAACAGTTGGTGATACATGTATGAAGAACATCTCTGATAGTAATTTCATGGTTTATATGATTGTCATTTTGTGTTGTTGCTGCTATCATTTCTTCTAAGAATAAGGTCATTTACTGTTAAAGAATTTTCTGGAAAAAAAAAGAAACATAATTATAGAAGGAATCCAGATGATATTTCCAATGATGAAATTAGACATACTGTGTCACTTTATATATGTATAATTCCTAACTCTTATTTTCATAAAATTTTAGAGGCATATGAGTTCTAATTAATATGATAAAACAATCATTTTTAGCTCGACTATACGAAGTATATGGAGAGCTGTCCTACTCGCCCCGGCGTCGGCGTCCGCGTCCGTGTCCAGATTTTAGATTAAAGTTTTGGTGCAGTAAAATATTTTTCACTATAACTTTGTCATTTCTTAAGGTATCAACTTCAAACTTCAAATATATGTTCCTTATCATCAACCACATCTTATGTGACAAGGTTCATAACTCTAGCACCAATATTTTTAGATTTATCTCCCCTTGAACTTAGAATTTTCCTTAAAAAATACTATTTTTTACTGTTACTTCTTTATTTCTTAAGGGATCAACCTCATACTTCAAATATATGTACCTTATCATCATCCCCATCTTATGTGACAAGGTTCATAACTCTAGCACCAATATTTTCAGATTTATCTCCCCTTGAACTTAGAATTTTCCTCAAAAAATACTATTTCTTACTGTTTCTTCTTTATTTCTAAAGGGATCAACCTCATACTTCAAATATATTTACGTTATCATCGCCCCCATCTTATGTGACAAGGTTCATAACTCTAGCACCAATATTTTCAGATTTATCTCCCTTTGAACTTAGAATTTTCCATAAAAAATATTATTTTTTACTGTTACTTATTTATTTCTAAAGGGATCAACTTCATACTTCAAATATATTTACGTTATCATCATCCACATCTTATGTGACAAGGTTCATAACTCTTGCACCAATATTGCAAGAATTATCTCCCCATAAACTTAGATTTTTTTACTAGAAAAATGTTATTTTTTATTATAACTTTTTTATTTTTAAAGGTATCTACCTCAAACTTCAAATACTTATTCCTTATCATCAATTACATTTTATGTGACAATGTTCATAACTCTTGAAGCAATATTTACAGATTTATTTCTCTTTGAACTTAGGATTTTCTTTAAGAAATATAATAACTTCTTTACTTTTTAAGGTATCTACTTCAAACTTCAAATATATATTTCTTATCATTACACAAATGTTGTGTGGCAAGGTCCATAACTCTAGCATGACTATTTCTAGAATTATTCCCCTTGATCTTGGAATTTATGTTAACAAATGTTTTTTTACTATAACTTAATACATAATTATACATAATTGATTTTTCTTTCATAGTTTTGTCCTCCTTACTGCGTCCAGTATTTTATTAGTCGAGCTTCGCTGTCTCCTGTGACAGCTCTTGTTAAGAAAGTATTAATGATCAATATGATAAAATTTTGCAAAATTTACAATCATATTTAAGAATGTATTGCTTACATTTACTATCACAAAGGTCAGAATCTGAGAAAAACTATTGGATGAAATATCTTATAGTATTAGCAGTATTTTAGAGAATATTTATACATTAGAATAATTCATGTTGTAAGAAGAATTATAATTATAGCAATACTTGAGAAAAAAATTAACCTGACAAGTCACACTATGTTGAACTATGCACTATAGTAATACTACAGTAGCCCTCCAGAAACAAAACAAAACATCAACAACAAAGAGTGAACCTTTTCCATAATTTTCACATAAGCATTAGCACCATCTAATTGGAACTTTTGATCTTTAAAACAGGATCCGCAAGGACTCTATAATTTCTATTGTTTTAAGGTTATTGCCTATGGTGAACTGCACATCAGCAAAAGTTCTATAGTTCATTAAAGCCCCCTTGAGAGATTTTATTGCAGACATACACAACTTCATAAATCTAAAGGTAAATGAACCAATGTTTGTTTCATGTTTTCTGAAAAACCAGCTAATTATATTATCTTGTATGACTTGGACTAATTATTCACATGTGCATGTGTTAATTATTTTTTGTTTGTTTTTATCTTTTGTGTATTAAGGGGATGTTTTATATGCCACATGCCAAGATTTTTACTGCACTAACTATTGTATAGTTTAATTTTGAACATTTCCTCTAGCTGTGCTTGAATTATACCTGTATATGATAAATAGAGAAAAAAATTCTGTCTGGTTAAAATTAATTAATGGCTTTATAAGCTAATAAATTATAGATTTTTATACATTTTAGATACAGTTTTTTTTATTGTTCGATGAATATATTAAAATTACTACAAATCTGCCTAATATAATAATCAGTTCAATAAAAACAAACGCTTTTCTTAAGCTTTCGACGTTTAGTCTTCTTCAGAAAAATTGACGTTTATAAAATAACAAATGACAAATGACGCAACGTCCGTTTAACTATACGCTAAACAGAACGTGACGTTGACGGGAATAAAAAACTTTGTCAAATAAATACAGAATCTTTCATGAATATAAATACAGCAATATACAATAAATTACACATAAAATATGGATCTGCACATGTGATACAAAAATTCTCATAATTAATAATAATTTTTTTTTTTTTTTTTTTTTTTTTTTTACAAATCTGCTTGGCATTTTTAATGCATTTTGTAGTATGCTTGTACAAGTTCTTAAAATTATGTACCAAAATTACAACATCACACAAATTACATCTTTACATAGCCTCTTTAAATTACTACATCACATAAATTACATCTTCAAATTGCTTCTTTAAAGCACTAAACCATTATAAATTAATCTCTACATTGCCTTCTTGAATTATTCTCCACATTAAAATACATCTTTACATAGTCTTCTTAGAATACTACACCATATTTATTTGCATCTGCAAATTACTAGTCCACATTAAATTACATCTTTACGTAGCCACTTTAAGTTATTACACCGCAATAAATTACATCTTTACATTGCTCTCTTAAATAACTTCTCCACATTAAATTACATCTTTACATATTTTTTTTTTAATTACTACACCAATATACTAAATTACATCTTTAAATTTCCTCCTTAAATTATTACACCACATGAAAACTACATCTTTACATAATTTGTCTTACTTAATTATTACTAAACTGCATTAAATTACATCTTTACAGTGCCTACTGAAATTCAAGTTCACCACTTTTAGTTACATTTTCCCTCCTTATAATACTAAACCAGAATTAACTACAATTTTGCATTGCCTAGTTAGACTTACAAACCAAATATAATTCATCCAAACAATAAACCTTTACATTATCTCTTTCAGAATATTTTAAATATAATAAATACCAATTTTATTACATGTCACCACCTCACATGCAGTACCTCTTTACATAACAACATTTTCATTTTTAAAGTACATTCCATCCTTTAGTTTTCATAATAAGAACGCCCTGTCTGTTTTGGTCGAGTGGTTATGGTCGCCAACTTTAAGTCACTTGTCCCTCATCACCGTATGTTTAAACGCTGTAAGGGACTTTGGTTTCTGTTATATGAGGAAGCTATCCAGGTAGCCTTGGTGGTTCTACCGAGGCTGAAATAAGGAAATGAGGGCTTCCTCAACCAGTAAAACTGGACAGTCCTCATATGACCTCAACTGTGTTGGTGTGACTTAAAGTCCAAATTAAAGTTTAAAGAAAAACAGTATGTTTACATTATCTCCTTACATATATTCACATCTATATTACATTCTTATTAAACCCATTCTGTTACCTCTTTATGTAATTTTACATTATTAAACTGTAATATGCTTATGTTACCTCGTCACATAATCTGTGGCATCTACATTACAAACTTATCATGCACAACATGTTTCCTCTTTACATTACCTCCTTATAATTGACTCTTTACATTACCTCCTTTTAGTTGCCTCTTACATTACCTCCATATAATTGCCTCTTTACATTACCTTCTTATAATTGCCTCTTTACATAACCTACCCGCCTCCGTGGTGGAGGGGTTAGAGTTGATGACTTCTAATCCAGTTACCTCTCTGGCGTGGGTTTGATCCCCGGGAGATGCTTTGGTAGTTTAGCACGGAGGAAGGTAGTCTAGTACTGGTATAACTCTCCAAGAACAATGGTTAGGAAACTACCCGACTATATGGCTGAAATACTGTTGGGAAAAGGCCTAAAATGAAACAAACAAACAAACTTTACATTACCTCCATATAATTGCCTCTTTACATTAGGTTGTTATAATTGCCTTTTTACATAATACCTCCTTGTAATTGCCTCTTTACATTACCTCCTTGAAATTACCTCTTTACATAACCTCCTTATAATTGCCTCTACATTACAATATTCCATTTTAACATCATAGGAGGCTGTTGCAGAAATAATATTTTGACGATTTAATTTCATACCTTTGTTTACTCTTTTGCGACTTAAACTGAAATAGATTTTAATTGCTTCTTAATCAGCCCTGGCTTTCACAATGAACATGCTTGATATTTTCATGATGCCTTCAGTTTATGCCAAGCTGTGATTGAATAAACTTCATCAAAATGTTTTTGAATACTACAAGTTTGTCTGAGAATTTCTGACATTTTCATAATACATTAATTTGACAAGATATAAATACAGCTTTTCCTTTATTTGAAATACATTTATATCAATTTAGTTTTATTGCAGAAATTCACTTAGTGATCATTGGAAATTTGTAAATGATTCAGTTTTAATGCTTGTATTTGTTGTAAACGTGTTTTTATGCTGTTTTTTACAGAGTCTCATATGTTATATTTCAATCATGATAATGGAACAGTAATAATTTCACATTTGGTTTGTGATATAAAATTATAAACTGTACTACAAATATTTATTCTGAAAATAAGACAAAATTTACCTCAGTGGCATAGCAGTGAAGGATCACTATGATCCGTTTATTTTAAAGACCATTTATTTATTTTATTTTATGCTTATTTATTTAAGCTTTAATGTGAAACAATTTTTTTTGCAACTTTTTTTAATCACTTTGAAGTCTGCTTTTTGGAACTAACAAGTACTGGTATCATATTATGAAACATGGTAAT